TGTGTACGCGCGCGCAATACATGTCGGCGTTTGTGCACTCGTCGCGGGCTCTAAGACTGTTTATTAAAAAGCTTTTAGCGATATTAGACTGTCCACGAGGAGCTGAGCTTCTCTCCGAGACGAGAACGTGCTCCGCCACGTGGCTGTCTTCTTTTTATCATCGTCGTGAGTGCGAGCTGGACCTATTGCGCAACAACACTCCAGCACAAAGATATGGAGATATTGAAGTAGGAAAAAGTCAGTGATATTTTTCTCGATTTTATTATACGACACACTTGCGTACGATTCAAATTAAATAATTAAGGATTTTTTTAAATCTACTTTATGTTCGAACTTGAAAATATCATATTCCGGTACTTCGGCACGGCTCGTCGTCGACGATCGATCGATCTTCTCAGCCAGTAACCCTCTCTCGGCTCACCGATCTCGCGGTTGAGAAAACGCTCTTCAGCATTTCTTTCTATCCATTCTTCGTCGTTCGCGCGACGACGCCGTCTGGAGTTCATTAAAACACTCTCGAAAAGCTGCGTACACAGCCGATGGCTGCACCCATTATACGACCTCTCTTGCCCTCCGCGTTTCTCTACTTACCCACGTTCTGAAAACTTTAGGTACTTCGCCGGCTCTAACGGCCGCGCCATAATTTTGCGCGATCGATGTTTCGCCCGCATCACCTCGAGCGCTGACTGACGCACCCGCTTGAACGTGATGTTTTCCACGTGCCTTCTCTCGCGTGCATGTACCACCGCAAACACGGTTCCGTAATTGTCGACTCGACTACTTTGTAGACTATCGCGCACTTCCTGTCAGCCAAGAATACTTTGAGCAGTTTGGAACTATTAAATCTTCTCACGGAGCAGGCATCATTTTGGTTTTCGTTTTACAAAAGAATAAAAATGTAAAATAATTAATTTAATATTAATTGAAAAATGAAACAAATATCTAATTTAGTAGTCAACTTTTTATAATTAGAATTTTATAAAAATAAAGAAAACAATTGATATTAATAATAAAAATATTATTGCTTAATAATATTCCACGTAAATTATGTTTATATTTAAATCTTTATGTAAAATTCTGATTTAAAAAAACTCACACAATGATACTCTAGAAATATAAAATTTTATTGGAATAACAGGAATAAATTTATTTAAATTTTTATTTTTGTACAATTATTTAATTTTATATATTAAAAATATTATTTTTTAAATCGATTTTATTATAAGCTGTGAACTTGGAAGCACAGTTAATAATAAAATAATAAAGATAAGCGCTTTTCGCGTAACAATCCTCTTTCATTCATTACTCCGAAAATGATATTGTCTACTTCACAAAACAGAGTTCTCATACACAGTTCTGAAACGAAATCGCAGTATTCCGAACTACAATTCGAAAATCACGATTTTTTTTCTCCGCCCGCGGGCGATGAGTCGTGCTGGTTTCTGCGTGCATTGTCTCGCGCACTGTCGTGCTCTGGTGTTCGCAAACACGGTTTTCGTAATCTGCGCAACCGAGTATTCTGCTCGCAGCGACTCGCTCTCCCTGAATTGGCTCTCTCAGCGCGCTGCATCACGATTACATTGTGAGAAAGCGCGGAGTAGAGAAACGGGCAGAGCCGCGAGCGTGGATCGATCGGATGTTCCGCGGAAGGTTTTTTTTTTTCCCCCTCGAATGCGGTAGTGCAATCGACAACAATAAATTTCCCACATCGATCTCCCTCGATGTTGCAAGCAACGCCGCGCGAAGAATCGATAGATCCTATTTATTCTCCGTGCGCAATTAAGTTTTTATCGTATTCATCTTCCTCGCTATCGGGGTCGGCGGGCGTTCCTCGCATGCCTCTTACACATACGTAACGCGTTACTTAGGCCGGCCGTTCGCAAACAAGAAGAGAGGAAAAACAATTTTGCCGAGAGGGAGAAGGAGAGAGAGAGAGAGCGCGAGCATAAATCCGTATGCGTGCCGCGCGCTCATCTCGCGCGCATGAAATATCGCCGTCCTCGAGAAAGGCGCGGCGGGGCCACGTTTACCGGGATATAATAAATATCGGGATATAATAAATTACGCGCGCGCGGCGGTAAAACGCCTTAAGACGATTCGCGCTCCGAGAGTACTTTGTTTCTCTCTTTCCTCCGTATTACTCCCTTTGTCCGTTCTGTATATGCACCTGTTACCGCGAACGTCCTCGCAGTCTATTTTCCTCGTCACCAACGAGGAAAATAGCATCTTGTTACGACGCTCCGTTAAAGCGCTTTATCAAAGAAGGATTGGAAGAATTGCCGTTTTTTCGAGTCATCGAGAGGAAGAGGGACAACAGTAGGAAAGGGAAGGTAGGGAGCGAGTGCGATAAAGAGGGATGGTCCTCGGAAATGCAGCGGGAAGCAACCGGAAAACTACTGAGAACTCGTTACGTTCACTTGAGAATTTCCCTCACGCGCGGCTCGCTTACTTGCTTCGCGCTTTCACACTTTCCTCCACCCGCTCGCTGTTGGTGCGTTTTTGCGACTTTTTCCACCAGCGCAAAGCACTTAATTCGTCGCGATGTCGTTTATTCATATCGGCTGTCGATTTTCTGCCAATTTGCGATTCGATGGCTCTGCCGATCGAACAATCGCAGGAAAGTCGCATAAACGAGAGAGACATCTCTCAAATGTAGAATTCAACTAAGTGTTTTTGTACGTTCTGCGTTTCTTTCTTTCTCAACACGTAACAAACATTAAATTCCGTGAAAAATTTACACTCGTCGGGACGCGCGGCGGTGTTTCTCAAAGTTACGCCTGCCGAATGGAAGAGGAATGTGTTCGAGAGCATGGCGGAATCATGAGTTTTCAAAGACATCGTATCGAGTTTCCACTTCCTCGCAAAGAAAGTGACGAGCCATCGAGAGGTCAACAAATAGAAATAAAAAAAAGAAAATCACATTTCTGTCCCGACTTCTAAATGTAAACGATCTTTTTCCGCTGAGAAATTGAAAGAGAAGGGAAAAAGAAGAGGAACGAATAAATATACGAGTTGACTGAATTAAAAAAAAAAAAAATATAATATATATATATATAAATATATATAC